ATATATATATATATATATACATATACTTTTATATATGTATAACCATTTGAAAAAGATATAAACTTACACACAGAGAGATAGGCACTCTCAAAATAAATATATATACAAATAATTAAAATAGGATATGAGATGTATTCACCCAATTTCGTTTAAGATGATGAAGGACTGGTAGTGGAATTTTCCCACAATGATATGAGTAGAGATTACGTTTCTATTGAAATTCACATAGCCTTGCTTTCCAAAAAGTTGATCTCATTCAGGAACTAGTGGACTGTAGTTTCGACCTCGCATCGGTCTTATCAACACCCCCAGCGGGAGTCGAACCGTGACAGTGCAGCATGTGAGCTGGACACGTTGACCACTCGGCCACACAGAGCAAGGCTATGTGAAATTCAATTGAATTGTCAACTCTACTCACATCATTGTGGGAAAATTCTACTACCAGTTCATCATGACCTCAAACGAAATTGGGTGAATACATCTCATACTACTGATTTACTGGTAGTCTCGAAACTACCTAAATACGAAAAATAATTAACGTAGTCGTTTGTTATAGCAAATATACGTTTGCTTCATCGACGATCCCACCAAAGAATATGATATGGCGAAAGGCCTGGCCTTTTTTGTAATTCACATTTGCCCTGTGACCCAAGGGCACTCGTGGTTGTGTGGCCGAGTGGTTAACGCGTCAAGCTCACATTTTGCACTGCCACGGTTTGACTCCCGCTGGGGGTGTTGATAAGACGGATGCGAGGTCGAAACTGCAGTCAACTGGTGACTGGATGAGAACAACTTTTTGGAAAGCAAGGCAATGTGAAATTCAATTAAAAAGTCAACTCTACTCATATCATTGTGGGGAAATTCTACTACCTCATACGAAATTGGGTTAATACATCTCATACTACTGATTTACTGGTAGTCTCGAAATTCCACCTGCATACGCAAAATAGGATATTTGGCTTCCTTAAAAGCATGCCTACTTATTCCGCCAGACCCCGTTTAAAGTAGTCGATTTCTTCCTACAGTTTAGTCTGGCATACCTTTTCTTTCGCTTTAAAAGGCGGCTGGAAAAGATTCGTAAATACGCCCCACCAGATACCGAAGGAGGATTGTGTTGGACTTGTGACTGTTGGCTGGTGTGAAGAAGATATCGACTCACCTTCCTGCGACCCCAGTGAATGTGCTGCGCTCTCATCCATCATGTGACAGATATCGTCAGAGCCAGAAATCAGTAATTACAGACAATTACCATAAGGCACAAAATCAAGAAAGGTCGATCTCTTATAGTCCTATATTGGTTGTCACTGAATGTACAGGGAATCTACTCCACATGTCTGCAGCAGACATCAGAACAGACACCTTTATAGGCGGGGGTCAGTGCCAGACAGTCGGCATGCCAGTTATTCTGTTTGAAACTTAATCGCGTCCCCCTTAGCATAACCACTGCAAGCCAGAAAGTGTAAGAATGACATTACAGACTGGGCGAATAAACGGTGGCCACCGATGAGTCGCCGATACAGACGGCTCTACCAGACACGGGTACATTTTATAAATGGCATACACTTGACAAAGCTAATCTGTAGGCTTCCCAAGACGGTTGTAGTAGCCTCAAAACAGAGCGAGGACAGACGTGAAACATGAAACTTGAGGCACGTCTGGGTTCGTCTATCTCAGACTATCGGTCTCATGTTCTGTCGATCTTATGAACCGGTTCAAAATGGGGCTAGAAAACGGTTATGGCAACTTAGGGCTTCAATTAATCTCGCACCGCATGCATGTGAAGTAGGAGAGGAAGAGGTCCGACTCGAACTCTTGCACTTCTCGATGCTGGATTGCCTTGTCGTCCAACAGAGTGTCCAATTCCACCACTTTGTAGGCCGCGCTACCAAACTCGTCCTGAGGAGGGAGATGTGAAAGAAAGAAGGCAGTCGTTATAGGAAGATAAGAAGAAGGGACGATATCTCAAAAAGCTCAAGCTCCACAAGGACACAAGTAACCACACAAGGTACACTACCACCTTTGGTACAGTTAAAGGGGGTACTATACGCAAGCTATTGCCACAAAAGATGAGCTCAACACTTTTTCATTTTCCCCAAACTCCCACGGCAGTAAGAAAACCAATTTCGTTGAGTTGGCGCCCTCGAGGAGCAGAGAATTTTGGCAGCTTCCGCGAGACCAAATTTCCTTGTCGTCAGACCTTTAGTCGTTCAAAGAAAATGCATGCGATGCACGAGGCTCAAGAGGGGCCCCATTCAGAACCTCCTCTGCAGGGGAATTATTCATTCACCGCATGAGCAAAGTATTATCTCTTCAAGCCAAAGTGTTGGTCTAACTGGCTACCGCTGTTGCCGATCCACCTGATATGTCTGAAAAGTTAGCCTTGAGGGAGCTCCGACTAGAGTTAAGAAATATCTTTTGCAAGCCAGCTTCGCGTCAGCATGATTGTAGAAAAGCTCCGACTTTGCCAGATTACACAACCCCAGTCTTGCCTTTCATTGGGTGGTTAAACGTTAGTGACCCTAGAATAAAAGGTTAGAACAAGTGGTTTCGTAACTTGACTTTAATGCTTACAAGCTCATATCTCATTATCTCAACCATACTTGCTTACTCACGCATACACACACTCACACACTCGAGCAAAAGTAACAGGACAAGTGTGAAAGATAATTAGCCAAACCATTCTATATCGATCTTTCTAGGTTTTTAATTTTCTTTTGGCTCAATTGAGTCTATATAAGAAGTAAGATATAGCCGGATGGTGTACTTGGCCTAGTGTCAACATGAAAATTTTACAAGAATGAAACCCAGCTATGACGATGTCCATCATCTGATGGACGAAAGCTCAGCACGTTTTCACCCGAAACGAGAGAGGAAGTCTTGTGGACTGCGTCAAAAGGAATATCGTTTAAAAGCTAAACGGCTGCAGTACAACGAGTTTCATCCGTTCTCATCTGGTGAGATCGACGAACGAATCTCTTCTTCATGCACTTTCATACGAAATGAAAGTCCTCCTAACGACATTCTCTCTGTCACACACCCCAAAACATCATCCAGACTAGACTTGCGGTGTGACCTTGCCAAGTCTGATATATGGCAGACATCATCAGAACTGGATCTAAATCTTGCCCAAACATCACACTGACAATAGCTGGCTCAGCCTAACCTTCTAGATCTATTTGCAATAATAACTAAAGAAAAACCACCCATCTACAGAAGGACGAAGAGATATATAAGATTATTTGGTTAATTCTGTTTCTCTTCCATGTATTCTGAGTTATGACTGGTTGCTTCGCACTCACAAACCAAACATAAAATTAAGTAGAATGGCATGAAAACGAGGTAACCAGGCCATACTGTATCCATCCATATATCTCCATGTAATTCAGTCTTTTTGTAGTTGATTAGTGAATAGCCTTTCAGGCTCGGTGGATGTTAAGAAAAGCGAAAAAGATTGACTCTCGGATCCTCTCAAGGGGAATAATGTAACAGGCAGCAGGTTTGTCTGCGTTTCTCCGTCAATCATAGCAGAAGATGAGTCTCTTTTGGAGAAGGGATGCAGGAGATATCGATGATTCGATGCCAAAAAACACTGTAGGCTAGTGCTGCCATCGGCTAAAGGTTACTACTGCCAAGGGTAGCGTAGGTCTTTGCTAGATTCGAGTAAATAAATAAATTAGCAAAAAGTTCGTTTTCCTGACTTACATTTTGCCCAGTAGGCAAATGCTCTCGAGTGGTAATTGAAGCTAGGTCTACTGGTTCAAAATGTAAATCTAGCTCTATGGAGAGGATATGGTTTCTAATGTAAACAAAATATACCCTCATTTGTACCGGCTAGAAAGACCACTGAGTCATAGCAAAAAGTGGGAAATATTGTGCTGTCATACTGGATTAAGTTGATAGTTTCCGCAAATTTTCTGTCCATATTAGATCCCCACACGAGATAAGTTGGTCGGGCAATAGCAGTATCGAAATTGAAGGCAAGTTGTAGGTATAACAGCAGTCCGTAGGGGTGAACAATGCATTTTGTGGCTTCTCAAAATGTATTGCTGATAGCAAAATGATCCCAAATCACCTTAGATACTCGGCAATTTTACG